TGAATAACCAATAACATTAAAAAGTAGCAAGGATGTGTACAACGGTTAAGATACCAAGCAAACACAAACGTTCCTACTTATTCACCAAATTGAATGCGAGTACTCAAAAACATCCTCCCCACTCCTACCATCCACTGCTACCACTGCTCCCCACCCAATTCCAATATAAAGTTTCAGTTACGCATCGGTTCAAAATCTGCTAACAGCACTCAGTTTCCACAACTTTTTTGCTTTTTCGCCAAATTCAGTTAAAATCGCAATCATATTTCAGTTTCAAAAACAAATGTGAACTGTTGCAGCACAATATCAAATATATACATGCATTTGTTTTTCTCGTACAAAAGTTACAGAAATCTTCGGCGGGCATGATCCGATTGATGATAAAATAGAGGCAAATGGTAATTTTTTTTTCGTGTTAAATTTATTAATTTTGCTGTCAAAGTAGAGTGAGGAAATGAAACTTACAGTCACTTTATGAACATTTGTTAACCCATTCGTTCAAAAATATGATTGTCGCTAAACAAAACTTGACCTAAACACTATTTTAGTTTTCTTGATAAACCACGACAGGCATCCCTTTGGAAAACATTCACAATAGAGAGCTACAGCTGGATGATAATTGAATGAAGTGGATGGTTAAACTATCGTCACTAAATATCACCTTGAACGGTTGAGTGACGATCATCTGATTGCTAATTTTTAAATGTATGCTACTACTGCGGTCTGGTATTGCAACTTAGCGATGGTCTCTGTAAAATGACCAGTTTCCCTGAAATTTTAGAATTAAACTGCAAAAAATATTGATCTGAATGTTTCATCTAAAATCTAAGCTTTCTTCCACCTTGTTGGTCCTACACGATGTGTAACATGAACTTTGTGGTTTATTTGGTAAGGAAGAATTAAAATTTTTTTTTTTGATGTATTTTTATTAGAACTGTTCAATTTTTGGCACGTTAAAGATTTTTAAAACTTCAGAATTTTATCAAAGTTATCACTTTCATCTTCTTTTCCTTCCGCCGTTTTATTTCTTTTGTAGTTTCTGCAACTTTTGAACAATTTCGTGATTATCACAAATTCTTAATTGACTTTTGATAGGTAGAAAAATCTAGACGCTACAAATCGATGTATGTTTCGTAAGGGACAGATGTATTGTTCTAGAATAGTAGTAAAATTACTGACGGATATTATTCTTGAAAATGTGACATCTGACAAAAATTTCACCTTACAACTCTTACGACAGATATTGGTTATCTTCGCATATGCTTTCGACACTTTCTTTTCTTTGGATTCTTACTTTCAGATAATTTTCCAGCATAGAAATGTATTTTGCGCTTTTCATCTTCATCACCCAGATATACATGAAGAGGAAATATCAAAAAGCCGACATGTTTTTGAAAGTAAAGTGACGGTTACACTTTTTTTTTAATTTTTGCAACTATGCAAGGCCGCCGAGAATAAAATTTTATTCGTCTACTTGTCAAAATTTTTAAGACTTTTTTTAAGATGTATGAAAATAAAAAAAGAGTGTATATATGTGTACTTTGACCGAGGGACATTGCACTAATAAAATATTAGGACTTTCAAGGCAGCAAGAAAATCAAAACAAATCTGCAAACGTTTAGATATTTGGAAAAAAGAATGGAATTAAATTAATTATTTCTTACTAGAATAAAGTACTGTTTACGTATAAGGTTCAAATTTTTTATTCAGGCGGAAGTGGTTTTAACCCCCTGCCACTATCTTTCTATTTATTAATATACTGCTTTTCTGGAAGCGCTTTAAAACTGCTATACTCGAATCTTAGCTTCGTCCTTTTTTTACCGGTTTGGGAGAGTGTAAAGTTTTTTTAGCACGAACAGACTTTAGAATAGAAGTGGAAAAGAACAGCTTTTGGAAGAACCATTCTTTTTACTTGAAAATAAAGAAAATAAAGTGATATTTTATTAAGAAAGTTAAATAACAATCTCAGTTCTCGTTCTTCTATTTGTCAGCGGTTTTGCACCGCATAATGAACATAGCTTTTTTTCCCATCTTAATCCCCATTTCCCATCATTCCTTGATCTTATTTTTCCGTTCACAAAGTTTGAAACCATAAATCAACCTATACAGTGTAGAAATTTGGTAAATATCTTTTTCACTATTCGTTAATCTTTGAACAACTTGTCCGTTTATTTATTCGTATTCTGAACTGTACAATAAACCACTGCTTGTTAAAACCTATTACACCCTACAGATTTAAAAGTATACTCAGGTTACCGCAATAAACCAGCTTTTAAGTCAGCTGTTCCCCGATTCTGAAAAAAAATTGCTAGAAAAAGATGCAAGAGCAGTTGTAGTTCCAGGAAAAAAATAATAAAAGAAAACAAACTGTTTTGCTGCAGAATGAGTAAAAAAGTAGAAGAGAAAAACATTTTTAAATTTTTTACCTTGACTGGAAGCTAAGAAAATAATTGTTCTGACTTTAGTCTTTTACAAAAAGGAAGAAAGAAATGAGGTGAAAATTATTGAAACCAGAGAAACTGGAAAAGTTATATTTTAAATAGCGGTATGCAAAAAGCAAAAAATATTGCTAAGAATTTTGGCGATACATTTAGGGCAGTCGATATGAGGTAAATTAACTGTGGTAAGGTCTTACGGTCAATAAGCCAAAATTTGCCTTGAAATACCAAAGACAGCGGGCAATCAGGTGCTAAATTTTTTTTTTTTTAGAAAATCTCGATTTTCTTCTGTTTAAACCAATTAAAACCATATGATAATATATAAGATAGTTAATTCAGTTTTAACTTTTCTGTTTGTGTGGGGACCTAATATACGGAGAACTGAAGGATTGTTTTGCTTTATTTTTTTCTAAAATCTATTTTTTTGTTCTCTATCAGGTTACTGAACTTTCATTCAATATTTTTACTTAATAAGACTTTTAAAGTTTTAAAGTGTTCAGCATTGGCCAACTTAATGTTGTAGAACAGAATTTTGGTCTTCTAGGAACTCAAAAAATTAAACCTGATGAAACATCACAGTGTCAGTTTAGAATCAGATTAGAATAAAAAATAAAAATAAAAGCAAGAAATACATTTGGTCCTTTTTTTTGATTAAACAGATTTACAACTTCTGAACAGTTAATTACGATAAAACACAAAAAATGACAAGTTGAAGCCGAAAAAAAGTGTTAAAGCGTTTTCGGGAACGATAGAGAACCGGCGTTTTGAGACACCAGTTCACCAGTCTAAATAGCCATATCTTAATTTTGGCTATACGAAACAACTTATTTAAACCTTCAGAGAAAAAAAGAATCTACTTTATAAGGTTTCTAAAACGTCGCTCTACAGACTGTTTGGGAACATCGAAGTGTTAATGTGTTTTCAGAGCGTAATTTTAGGGAAACTGGTAGGTAGGCAGTTAGCGGAAAAAAAAATAAATAAAAAATAAAAACAGAAGATTTCCAAAAAGATATTGCTAGTGCTGACATCACTGCCAGAAAATTTTCAGTATGTTTACACTTTTTTCTGAAAAAAAAAAACTAGAAATACAGTTTTGGAAAACAAATTAAAAAGACAAATTATTCTCTTTTTTTTGTTGTACATTTCCCAACCATTGGTTTGCTGCCTAAAAACTGCCATAAAGAAAGTTTTAAAAAAGTTGGTAAAAAATTTACACAGCTATTGATAGAAACTAATTCATTTTTCTTTTAAGATAAAGCAGTTGAGCTAGTTATTGTCGTTATTTTTATCAGCTTCAGTTCCGTTTTTACAACCAAAAAAAAAATTTTGTTCATAGACGACTGTTAACGTTTACGCTTTCATTATTCTCACTATGTCAACATGCCAGCGGAAATATTACTGCAACACTACACTTTGGCTACGCGTATTTTACAGTATGTATCCTATTGTCTGACTTGTATGTTTTTTGGCCTTATTTTTTTTAGTTCAGAAAATAAAAAATAAGAAAAAAAAAGTAAGGGGAACAGTGTTGGCAATTTTGCAAAATCAAAAAGCATTCTCTTTTGCTTCTAGTGCCGACTTGCTAATCCTCGTTTTTTACTTTGCAACAGTTTTTTACTCTTAAACATTCAGTTCTTTTTCAGGTGTTCATATATCTCTTAAGCGATTGAAAACAACAGGGCTAACCAGAAGGTTAATGCCAGAAGCGAAGTTTTAAAAACGGTAACAGGTCTCTTGAAAATCGGTAAAAAATTTTATCATTTTTGAATTTAACTAAGAACACAATGTTTTCAACCACGGTGTCTGTGAATGACTGACAGAACAGATTCCTGTAATTAGCTGAGAAACAAAGAACTCATATCTAAACAACCTGGTGCAAATCTTCAATTGAAAAATGGCTTATTTGCTTGTAAACATACTTAAATACTTTGAGAATTAATAACACTATAAAATAAAATAAGTAAATTTATAAAAAAACGAGTGTAATTGGTCACAATGAAAGGTTCAGTCACGTTTAGAAACGTGAAGTGAACCGACTGCAAAAAAAGTCTGGATGAACCTGGTGAAGTAAAAGAGCAGTCATTGGTTTAACCTCCTCAAAAAATCTGAAGCACAGAGTACATTACTATGGTCAGTTTAGAATACCCATTGATGACACAACTGTCAGCAAAAAAAGGTACCAGAAAATTTACTTTTGAAATTAGTAATGAAACCTTATCTGGTTTATTCTAAATGATTCAATCCACCAGAGTACTTTTCGACTTGTATTATTAAAGAAACACATCAGATATTATAAGAAATCCATAAAAACTCTTCTCATTATATTTTTTCTTGAGAGATTACATTTTTATCTGTTTAACATCAGAAAGACAAAATTTAATTGCGGACCCCTAAATAAATACTGTTTTCTGACAAACCTTGAAGTTTCAAAAAAAGCCAGAAGCAATAAATGAAACCTAAATTGGTTTTTTAGAAATTTTATGTAAATAGAATTGAACCTATTTACCTTGCAAACGTAAAGGAATAATCGGCTTGTAACAAAAAAAAAAACTAACTTTGCAGCTTTCGTAAGAAAAAAATACAAATATGAAAATGTTAATTGTAGACGTGTTCTCAGGTGTTAAGCAAAAAAACGCATTTTATTTAGTTAAAAATCGGATAACACGACACTAGTTCTTCGGGTAAAGTTAAGAAATTAACCAACTAAACTCTGAATATTTGTGTGGAAAGAGGTGATAATGCTAACTGATAGCTTTATTATTGTAAGCACAAAAATTCCTTGTAATTTAAAAATCTGCAAATTGTTTTTTTTTTTTTTTCAGTAAATATTTGATCTTTATTGCGGTTATATTTAACTTTTTTTTGCAAATTAAAATAAGAAAAAGTGTCTATTTTTTGCAAAAAAATAAAAATTACACAGCAGAAAAGAACATCTTTGAACATTAATTTCTGAATTGCAAAGAAGAAGCGATTCGAAAACAGTTGCAAACCACTTTATTACAGCACTCTTCAGACTACTGTTGTCGCTGTTATTTGCACGCACTGACTTCTCTTGCAACTTCATCGTAAATTTTTGAGTAAATAGTGGGCAACCTGTATAAATATTGACAAAGCTAATAGTATTATTAGTCATTGTGCACTGTATATATTCCAAATAAATCGTTTTTCAAATAAAAATAGTCACTTTGATATGTACGGTTTTATACTTTTATTTAATTTTTTGGCCTATTATTGGGAAGTAAATTTAGACGATATTTAAGTGGCACTGATAGCGAAAGCTTGTAATAAGCACGTAATTCTTTTTCTTCTAAAATGAACATTATTTTGCATCTTCAATATTCTGTCAGAGAAAACGAAAAAGATTTTACCTTTTAAAATTATTCTTCTATTTGCTGTGGAATACTGCCTATCTAAATTTATGCTTTCAGTGATGATATTGAAATTGTAGCAGCAAAAGCTTTACGGAGAATAAACTAGGCTCACAAGAATGGAGCGAGAAAAAAGTGCTTAAATTTGATTGGAAAACTGAACATTTGTTGCAATCGGCAATTTTGATGAATTGGGCATCTGTCTGCAGTTTCTACTTAAAAACAGTCATGTCAAAGTATTTAAATGTCTCAGCATATATGGCTGTCTTGCTGCCAGTAACCGTTAATGCCACTACTGAAGAAGTTCAAAGTAGACTTATCAACAAAACAATACGTAAGTTTGACAAATTGGACAATTTAGTAGGTATTTTTTAATTGACTGCAAGTTATACGCTAAATTTTCTCATATAATTTTTGCTTTCATATTTTAAGACACTAAATGCTTGCAAAGCGAAACTATGATCCATTTACCACTGATAGAGTTCCAAGTAAATGACCGCAGTGACGAATTTGATGGACGGTGCAGCACTGGTATTGTTGATTTGGTGTTTTTGGATAAGAAAATTGATCTTAATTGCAAACAGTTTTTTCTGTTGTTTATAACAGGTCGAAAACTTTTCTTTTAAATTACTTGTAAGTTAACAATTCTGTTGTACTTTACTCAGAAAAAACTGGAATCTTCAGGTAACAAGAAGTGATATTGGTATTAGGAGTCAAAAGCAGAAGCAAAATTCACCTTATGATCATCTTAAAGTCACTTTCAGAGCACCAACATTCAATGCTGAAGTTTCAGAAAATCAGTAAAAAATCTTACTTTGTTGACATGCACTTACAAAAGCTGAAAAAGACAGGTGTTATATTCTTAAAAAAACCAAAATAACTTTGTTATTTTATTCAGTTGTCAATTATTATTTTAACTAATAAGTTAACAAACAGATTAGAAAATTTAATGAATCATTTTTTTTTTTGCCTCGCTGATGGTGAGCCAAAAAGCACTGCCGTATCTAAATTTCCTGGTTTTTTGCAGTTTTATCACTCTAAAAAAAACGGCTCTGTTATTAATTAGAAAAGTTACGATAGAAACTATGGAATAATAATAGCGAAACAAAGCAGTGGTTCATCCTCAAAATTTTCTGACATTTTCATAATCTTAGTCTAAATTTTATCAGAACTGACTTCACGAGAAAAATAAAAATGTCGAACAAACTTACAGGTAAGGTCAGTGCAACTATCGCCATATCTATTGGATATGTTTGTTACATATTCGTAACAAGTATTTTGGCAAAATTTCCTTCTTAAAACAGCACAAAAGTTGCTAGTAAAATAATGTCCAAGTCATAAAATTTGCAGTTAAAAAACTATAGAAACTAAACAACACAAAATGGTGGTAAACATTGCACATATAGAGACATCTTTATGTGATAATAAAACGACTAGACTTATTACTGGTCGAACCATAGTTGTGGATAATGGTTCGTTGTCGGCAACTGCTGAATGCAGCAATATAAATATGTGTATGAAACGGATCACACAGCTATAGAATCAGTTAAATTTGTTTTAATTTTCAAATTTGTTTTAATTTTTCTCTCTATGCGATAAACTGAGAGATGCTAAATTATGATTAATTTGATGTGTTTATTATTAGTCTCTATGTTCAGAAACATATAATTGCTAAATAATCATATTTTATACGTAATTTATTTCGTACAGTTATAAAATCTTTCTCATTACAAAGTAGTTCAGAACCATAACAAACACATTTAGCTAAACGATGATCACAGAACAAACTCAGAATACAGTGGTCATTTGCCATCACTAGAAGGAAAAGTGCTTCATGTGAATATGATAAATATACTGTTTAGTTTCAAACTGTGAAATAATTTGAAAGCTTGATAAGAATTTTTAAGAATGGCTTACAGGTAAGCGAAATAGAACGCATCATTAAAAAGTATTATTTGAAACCTATTTTGAGTCTGAGTGTGTTTCGCCAGTGAAACTCTCAGGATCCAATTCTTTCAAACGCTTCTCTCGACGAACTGCATTCCAAATCGAATGATTGCAAAAGCAGATATAAATTTTTGCTTGGCTCTAGAATTGCTCAGGCGCTTTGATTAAATTACAAAATTTCTTTTTTGAATCTTTTATTAGAGACTGTCAAATTGATGACAATGTTAAACAAAATTAAGTGTAATCAATTTGATGCAGATAACAAAAAAAAATTTCTTTTTTTTTCCAACATAGCAATTTTTTGGAGAGCGGAATTAAAGTAATTTTTGGGCAACAGTAATGTTCCTCTAAAATGACAGCGCAATACCCATATCTACCGGATAGTCCGCTGAAGAAGCCTCCACTTCCGGAACGCTGCGATGTCAATGCGCTCGCATACTGCCTTACTCATGAGAAAATACTGTCCGTCTCTCACGCTCTGCTGCAGTACCTGCACGAACGCATTCCCCGTTGCACTTTTAGAAGCAGCAGTGAAAAACTATAAACAGATTTAACCGTTAGCGTAAATAGAGAGGCGGAGAGGTCAACTAGAAGGACAGTACAACAGTAAAAAATGACTGTGAGCAGAGATACTACATTTTACAAAAAATGCTTGAATATCTGATTCCAGAGTAAGCCGGGCAACAGCGATTACAGTTTGAAGATAGCGTGGTGATGTAGAAAATGCAGAATTTATGTGCCGCTTGAAGGGATTGATAATTCAAGTTCGCTTGAGTCGACTATCGCTCACTGTACACGCAAGTAACCTTGCGTCTTGATAGAGAAATTTTTTTTTACCTTATTCTCTCGGCTTGGGAGAAAGCAACATTATTGCTTACATGCGAAGGGCTCACCAAAACCGTCCTATTTGACGATAAAGGGCTATATAGAAAAAACATACTATTGAGAACTGCAAGGCGTTAAATGATGTTTCGTTACCTAAGACCAAAAATACGTCGGCTTGTTATCTCGGTATACTTTTTCCAAATAAGTTTTTTTTTGTTTATACAATTTTAAAAACCTCCTATCCGTCGCGTGCTGTTACTTGTGATCCTCTTTGGAGTTCTGTCGCAGAGGATCAGTGATGTTTGTGCAGGCACCTGACTCAGGATCGATAGCGTGTAGACCGCAATTTGCGGTCTGATGTCACTGAGTCCTTGCCCGTAGAATAGTATAGTAAAGCTGAGTGCACATGACTGCAGTGCAAGATAGTCTGACTTAACAGTGGAAGTGGAAGTGGAAGTAAAGGAAGCTGGAGCTTCGCCACAGCCCCACAACCGAGTTGTCACTCGAGCAGCTGAAGGTACACATCGAGGCTGTCCTCTAGTCCTCTTCCTTTTGTTGCTGCCCCCTCTTCCTTCGCCTTTCCCAACATTCCAGTCGAAAAAGCAGCTATTCAGTCAGCGCAGTGCGACCCTCAGCAAAAAAAAAAAGATCAACCCACGTTTTTGTTCAGACGACACGTCGAGCAGTACTTCATATAAGCTCTGTGAACAACTGAATGATGGAAAAAATGTTGTTCCAAATTTAATTCGCTTCTACAAAACAAGTTTTAAACAAATTTTGGCACCATCACTACTGTATTTAGTAGAATACTGTTATTGTTCATTGGTGTAATTCCTGTTCTTTGTAGTTTCTTCACAAACACCTCCCTAGTACGTGACTTCGAGGTATAAAAAGTGGTCAGACTAACTGCAATATTAGTTAGCACTCAAAGCGGTTTGCAATGGCCCGGTTCTCCAACAAGGTTGTAATTGTTACTGGTGCGATTTTAAATTTTATTCTTCGTTACAGCTTTTGATTAAGGACATATTCAGTACTTGGTCACCTATTTACAAATTAGGTTTTGAAATCGTTCCGCAAGCGCTGTTCAAAGTTATTTTGATTACTTTTTCGCTTACTACTATATTTTTCTTGAAGATTTTACTTTACTTTGTACACTGATTCTACTGCAGATGTCAAAGACATGTGGAATTGTTGCATAAAATTTAGGTTCCAGTAACGGGATTGGAAGAGCTACAGCAATAAGTTTCGCAAAAGATGGAGCTAAAGTGACAATCACTGGACGAGATGAAAAGACACTTGAGCTTTAATAATGACACCAACACAACGTTTGGTTGAACATAATGACCTTGACAGATAATTTGCATTAGGCATTGACTACACTTTCTATTGCAGATAACTAAGTCAGAATGCATAAAAGCTGGGGCAAAAGAGGACGATCTGTTAGCAATAATTGGTGATATAACCATGAAAGAAGTTCAAGACAGACTTATCAATGAGACAGTCCAGAAGTTTGGCAAATTAGACATTCTGGTATTTATTTTAGGTTTGATTAACTCAGAGTTCTTAATATACACATTTTATTTTTAAAATATGATATATCTATGTTTTGTATTTTTCACGCTGTAATACTTTTACAGCCAGTCTAGAATACACTTCCTAGGTGTCACCATACCCTCAGTTTAAAGGTGAAAAAAACGGTTGTTCACTACGATTCTTCATTAGAAATTTTAATAAACACTTTCTTGTACGTTCCTGATTTTCTTTCATACAAAAAAAAATTTTTTTCAAAAATTTTCAGTTTTCTTTACGTATAGTCAGGTATGGTAAGTCATTGTCAGTAGCACCACGCCGTAGATTTTGCTCTTCAGTACGGTTTTAGTTAATTATCTTGAAAATAAAAACCAGTTTTTTCTTCATTGTTTTCTCCTGCTTATAATTTAGTACAGCGATGATTATGTAGGTGTTTTTAATTGAAGCCACTAGTAAGTTTTACTTATCGCTGTACATATGTTCAGGTGAACAACCATGGAGGTGCTTTTCAAGAACGCGACAGTGAAGGAAACTATGATACTGATGCGTTTGACAAAACTATTGATCTTGACTGCAAAAGGTGTTAAGTTGTTTGTAATGACCTCACAGCACTAGTTTTGGCACTTTTTGATGCTAGCGTTTGCAGTCTCTGGAGCATGGTGAAAATTGTCAACATAACTTGAAGAAAAATTATAAGTGAATGAGAATTTTAATTTTTTTAAAATTTTTTAATATAGATTTACTACTACTGAAATTTCTGTGATTTTTTTAGAGACGCCAAAAATTATTTAATTAAAGTTTTAAAAGTTTAAATACAGCTAGCTTCAAAATCTGCACTTGTGTAGACCGCAGAGTTTGGATCATATTTTATTTAATTTGAGATAAGGAAATCTTTAAAAATGTGCTTTTGAGGACACTTGCGTAAAATCGTGATAAATAATCTTTTCCTCAGAAAAAGGTGGCAATTTATGTTGTTGTTTTTGTTCAGACTTGCTTACTTGTTGATCTACGATAATTAGCGCATGTAATAAATGACAGATTTTCTTTTTTTACAGCGCCCTTGTAATGAGTGGTAAAGCGTTGCCACATCTGAAAGTCACAAAGGGGTGCATCGTGAATGTTGGCAGTGTAGCCTCTAAAATAGCGGTTAGTTTGTTTGTTAGGCAATTATCAACTTGTTAGAGCGACATTATTGGGAACTTAAGCAACTAGCAAAAATGTAGTCGAAAGCCTGTGGAAGCCTTGTAAAAAAAATGAAGAAATAGATTTCTCATCAAAATTCAGTACTCCTCTGATGTTAGCAAAAGAACCATTGTGGGAATTTTTCTATTTCGGTCTTAAAAGTAGTATAGTGACTTCAAAACATCATGAGTTCATCTTCATTGTGGATCAAAAAGTAAAACTGTTGAAGCGATGAGAGAAGTACTGGTAAGTGGAAGCAGTTTCGCAGACTACAAACCTCTTATTCATCTACTGCTGTAAAACTATACTTGGTTTACTTAACTTTCAGCAGTTTAAGCTGTGCTATATCATGAAGCTAGCAAGAAAAGACCAGAAGAGGCATTATTTTTTAGTGATTAAGTCACAATGTTTTAGTAGTCTGGTTAAAGTTCTCTTCTAATATTTTACTCTCGAGTTTGTCAGGTAAGCTGTGCATAGAGGCAATATTAGAAACGTCTTGAAAATAATGAATTGAATTTCCAGTTGACTCCAGAAAGAAATTTCTTTACGTTAGCTGCGGAAAGTAAATTTATTGTTTTCAGGTTCTACCCTTAATGTTTCACTCGATTGCGAAAGCAGCTTTAGATCATATAACTAGGATTATGGCTTTACAAAACGCCAAGGATGGAGTTCGAGTGAATGCTGTTAAGTAAGTTGCAGGGAAAGTAAGGATTTTGATCTTCCTATAAAAAAACCTATACTTTTCAGAATGTAATACCAAATTCAGCATCAGTTACTTTCTTTTCTCCTAGCAATGGATCACGAACTAATGGATGAAGTTAATGTTTTTTCTCGTTTTCAGTCCTGGGCTTGTGAAGACAAGTATTTTTAAAAAAATGGGAATGTCAGATGAAACTGCAGATACGGTAGGCCTG